GGCAGACAGAGACAGAGACAGAGACAGAGACAATGAAACAGACAAAGAAAGAGACATAGAGAGGAGGGGTGGAGGAAGGGAGAGGGTGAACTGGCGCCGGCAAAGGCAATCCTCAGGAGGTGTACGTAGGTACATACACATCCTATTTTGACTTTTTGGTTTGTGGGCATTCGCAAGGACGTGCCTCTAATAATCAGACAAATTGATGAGATTTGCAAGTAGGCTGGTCTGCCCGTGCAGCCCTCGGCAATGACCCTTGGCAAGCGGCTACCCTGGCCATTACCTCTCGATCCTATTCATTAGTAATTCGTACGGTCAAGGTTGACATTTCATCAGCGGTACCCAGGCGGTGTTTGGGGCTCTCATGATGGGGCCCGTTGCTGTGGAGCAGAGAAATGCATCACCGTTCACTCGAGAAACGTAGGGAAAAACTCGGCCACAGGGGAAAGTCAGTATACGGTTAAAGCCCCCGCACTTTAGAACCTTTGGTTTTGGCCAAGCCTGGGGTTATTCCACGGGCTCACAAACGGTTCTCTCAAGTCCTAGATATTGAGTTTTTCGAGCTTCATCAGTTTCTTAAATGACATGTTGTTTAGTGCGGACGCTAACCATACCTGCGTGAAGCTCTCCTGGACGAACCGAAGCCTCCTGCTTGACTCCTACGATCCTTTCCCGGGATCTGACCCTTACGTTGGCTTGCTTCCGACTGGAACGTAAGGATTGTAGGTTGGCCAGCATCACATCCTTTGTCATGCACACGGCGCCCCGGCACTCCCTGCTTTGACACCCTCCGCCGCCTCTCGATACATCGGCGTACCCATGCCTCTACGGATCGGATTCACGCGTTGCCCCACCGACAGAGAGAGAACAGAACTGTGGGGTTTCCATGGAGCGAGGCGTCGGTGAAACGTAGCCTGAGTTCCGTCGGGGGCACGGTCGGTGGGTGGCGTTCACCAGTGCTTCTTGACGTTGTTCAATCTACGCGAGTTTCGGAGTCAAAGGTGCTTTTTCTTCAAGTGTTGTGACCCCCAGACAAATGTCTACATCCGAACCGGCTGGCTTTCGTCGACGAGAAGCACCCCGATGAGGTTGCGTTGTCTACGCAGCTGAAGGGTACACTGGGCGCTATAATAGAGAAGATCCTTTCTTGTGGGAAGCAGCGGTTGGAATTCACCAAAGGATACTGTTCTGGCTTCCAACTGGCAGTCGTCCTCTAGTTAACCGGGTCACTGTCGTCGATCACGTCACGGGGTTGTACCGCACACGTTGTGAGAGGTCGCCGGAGGGGACATTGGATGGTATTTCGTGACATTCCTCTTGTGTGTGAAGCAGTGGCTGGGCCCGACAGTAGTCTCACCCATTCCGTAGACCTCTGGTGGACCCGCTTGGTTGGACGTACCCCTACATTCGACGCGCGCAAGACTTGCCCAGGGCTCAAGGCATGTGTTCTTCAGGGAAGATCCCTACAGCAGAGAGGACCACCGGGAAAGGCCACACGCATGAAACTGTCTGGAGCATGGCACCCCTGCCGATTTTCTCATCACGATTTCCAACGGCGTGTGCTTCCTCGAATGTCGTTGCTTGTCGCCGTGAAGAAAGAGGTCCTCCTCTTACCCCAACCCCACCGCCCTTGATTCCTCCTCGATCAGCTGCTATGCACGCTGTGTGTGCGGGCGGAGAGTTGCGTGACCGCCTTCGCGGGGTCCGGAGAAAACCGCCTCCTCTTTTTTCGGGGCACATCGCGGGCGGGACCCACCACGCGTTTTCGGACAGAGGGGAAGGGTTCTGCGTATTCAGCGACATCGCGGTGAGTTTGTTGTTGTTGTTGTTGTTGTTGTTGTTGTTGTTGTTGTTGTTGTTGTTGTTGCTGTTCATGTCACTGTTGTTGATATTGCTGTTGCTGTGGTTGATGCTGCTATTTGCTGTGGTTGTTGTTGCTGCGGCAGCTATCTCTTTCTTGAGGGAGAACCGCCATGGCGTTTTGAGGCAGGAGAAGCAGCACTCCTCCCCGTGTATACCACAACCATCGTGCAAGCTGTCTTGTGTTCGCCTGATTGACGTGACAGGTAGCAGCTAACGTGGCCCTCCGGGATTACCCGGAAACAATACGACAGATCCTCATCGTCGACTGTGACGTGCACCAGGTAGGAGGTACTATGCCGTACATGCCGTGTACCATGCTAGGTGTGGTGGTGGAATTTTTATGGTACGGCCGATTTTCGTCCCGCCTGCTAGATTGCACCTCACTATCACGACGCAGCAGCGCGATCACGGCGAAGCTCTGTGATCAAATCATTCCATTTCCAAGTATATGCAACATGGCCACACGTTTCCTCGCCATTCCGGACTCCGATTTACGAGTCGGGGTGTCCTTCGTGGAATCCCACCAAACCATGCGGGCTGTGAGCCCCTTCGCCGGCTTTACGTGTGTGTTCTCGCCCATTTGTGAACAAGCGCCTTGCAGGGCTAGCGACCGCTGTGGATGTGACCATTTCAACATCCGGCAGACATCTCAAAACCGCACCATTGATATTGGCTTGAAAACAAGAGACATGGGAATGAAGTCACGCTCCTTTCATTCGGGCACTATACCGTCTGCATGGTGCTGCACTGACAACGGCAGGGGAATGGGAATGCCGCGCTGTTCAAGTCGAAACCCGAGGTTTTCACCTTCAGCATCCACTGCAAGGCCAACTACTTCTCGGAGAAGGAGGCGAGCACTCGTTTTCCGCATGTCATTTCATTCCAATTTCACTGCTCTCCATCGTCCTGTACGGCACCTTAATTCATTCCACTTTCAATTTTCTCCGTCGTCCGTGTATACATCCCGATTGATTCCATTTTTTCTGCTCTTCATCGCTTGTGTTCCGCATCTCCATTCATTTGAACTTCACTGTTCTATGCCTATGAATGCTACAATCACTTCATATTATCGAGCCCCCTCCCGTACATGAGAACTGTGCCCCCTCCTGGCCAACGGTCTGACGAATATGCCATGCGTTTTCACGAGTACACCCCCCCTCCGGTATGCCGTGCACGCAGGATTCCGACGTGGATATTGAGGTGGAGGAAGGTGCTGGCGATGCGGAGTATCTATCCCTCTTGTCCGAACACCTTCCAAGTCTAGTGGACCAGGTCCGACCAGACCTAATCTTTTACCAGGTACGCAGAAGATGAAACCGTCAGAACGCCTCCCAATTCGATTTGGTCAGATCCGATCAGACGCAGTCGTTTACCAGGTACGCAGAAGATGAAACTGTCAGAACGCCTTCCGAATAGTGGGCCGTGTCCGACCAGAATCCATCAGACACGTGGAAGATGACACCACCAGAACGCCTTCCAAGTCGCATTGATCAGGTCCAACCAGATGAACAACGATGCACAATATGAAAGTACGACGCGATATGTAGTCCAATGGGCTCTGAATGAAACACTCTCGGATTTCAACGCCGGCGTTTTTTCTATATCTGTGAACTTTTGTTGGCTTTGGTGAGAAGGAAGACATCCGATTCTTTTCCGTCGATCGTGTGTCACCGTGTACTCTCGACGATTGGTGCTGGCCAACACGACAGGGAGGCGTCGACCCCCTGGAGCACGACCGGCTGGGGAGGTTAAGCCTCACGAGGGACGGGCTGCGTCTCCGAAATCGGCTGGTGTACGACACGGCCCTTGCGAGGGGCATCCCTACCGTACTCACGGTGAGCGAGAGGGCTGTCTTTGGCATGGAATGTTTGCAATTGTTTTGTTGTTGGCGTCGCTTTCGAGAGGGGCATCCCTGTCGTACTCACGGTTGAGCGAGCTGCCATTTGGGCTGGTCGTTTGCCTGCTTGCTTATTGATGTGGTGCTGCTCACTAGGGTTATCCTTTCCGTCGTAGACGGCGGCCTCGCTAGCTGTCGTTCGCTTGGTTGTTTGGTTGGCTGTTGGACTGAAGACCGGGGTGTGTACAAAGGAGGACGCAATCACGGTGCCCCCTTGACCACTAGTCATCGTACCACGAGGCGTTTCCTTCTTCGGACGATGCTGAACAGCCTAGCCTATTCGGCGTCATTGCCATTGGTTGCCCCGGGCTTGATATTGCTGCCGGTGCCGGCATTGTTTAATGAAGTGATTTTCCAGCACCACCGCTTTGACTCGTTCATTCCCGCCTACTTTGTGGTACCTCACACACCGCCACGCGTGGGAAGGTTCCCGCCCCAGGCACCCCACTTGACCCACCAACTCTCGGTGTATTTCAGAATCGACGTTTGTTGTATTGAAAGCCTTTGAATCCTCCAGTCGCTGATTGATTGCTTCATTTCCCCTGTTTGTGTGCAACCCTTGCTGGCGCGCCGAACATTGCACACCGATTGGTGAAGCCTGGTTCCCACCCTACAATGCTAGATGAGGCGAGAACACAACACGAAAAAGCATCCGAACGCCGCCGTGCCTGTCTGCGTCTTCGATCGTCCCTCCCTCGTGTGCAGATGGGTGGGGGTTACCCGAAGGACCTAAACCCGGCGTCGGAAGACTTTGGACACATCGTGCGGAGCCACCGGGACGTGTACGAGGACGCCGCGGCTTGTATAGAGGCATCGGCTTTCGAAGGGTAGAGGTTCGTTGAGCGGCGGCAAGCAGTGGTGTCATGGGTTTCCAGATCAAATCCGGCGTGCAGATTGGCGTCGGCTTTGTAGAGGGGGGTCTCTAGGTGGCGGCAAGGCGAGTGGTGTGATGGGTGTCCAGAGCAAATCTGGTGTGGAAAAAGGCGTCAGCTTTAGTACAGAGGGTACGCTTTCAGAGGTGGCAGGCAGTGGTGTGATGGGTTTCCGGCGAAGTTCTGGCGGCGACGCGGCGCACGGGGAAAGTCCCGTAGACGGAAGTCGAAGATTTTGTCAAGTGCTGTTTAGATGTAGGAGGGGGAGGCGCTGCGGGAGAAAAATGTATTTATTACTTCTTCTCCGCGCTGAGACAACCCGACAAAAGAGGCGCTCAGATCCTACCAGCCACCGGGGGGGCTTGATCGATCGGGCCATGCTAGCTTCACCGTCGCGTCCTGTTTGAGCGGGCCAACATGGTTCCGCGGCTTCCAAACCCTCCCAGTCGTCATATAGGAATCAATTTTTCGGTCTAAAGGGTGAAAGTCATCGCCCTCTCTGTGGAAAAAACCGAGACAGATGCAACAGGAACATCATCACAGCAACATTCAACAACGGTATCCACACTAGCACCGAACGTTGCCGCAAGCTGTCTGGCGAAACAACACAACCTGGGGCATAGCGCCTGTACGCCCCGCCCCCGTACGTGCACATCAGCTGGGCTCATTCTAAGGTCTAAGAGGATTTTGTCACCCCCAATCACAACGGGAATCGCTACCATAGAGAACACACGTATTAGTTGTCAACTCTATTCTCGCTCAAGCCTTCACAGTCCCAAGGAGTTGACCCCCCGACAGACTTACTCCTCCCCAGCGGCGCCACAATCGCCCGAGGCTTCCCTTGCTTAGCGGCCGGTGTGGATGGGCACCAAACGCAGGGTGCCACACCATGGCAACTCCAAGTGATTCAAGAACTACGGTGATAGAAGAAGTAGCCTTCGCCGAAATCCTATGATTTGCGTCAGCAAAGGCACCACAAAAAACTTCTAGCTGTACGCTGCTAAGGAGAATCTTTGAACCAGAGCCAGAACATCGTGCGACTGGGGACACGATGTCTTGTGCGTTTTAGCAACAGGCTAACGCTTGACCTCATACCTCCAAGTGGATTGAAACAGGGCGATGAAAGGGTCTCCCTGTACCCAACCTTGTGGAACGCACCAGGAACAAAATTCGATGTCATACTAACTCCAAGTGATTTGAACTAATGCCAAGAAATCATGTGACTTGGAACTAAATCTTAATCTCTTCACCACACCAAAACTTGATTCGATACTGGCGTCAAAATGACTTGAACCAAAGCCATAGTGACACGTTGTAAGCAACCTCTTGTGACATTGAACGGGACCAAGTACCGACACAATGTTTATTCCCAAGCGATACAAACAAGAGAGAAAAACATGCGGTGCTTGAGGTGCGACAGGAAATATTTCCAAGCACCCAAGTTTGAAAGTTCCAACCTGAGTTCCGCTCCATCTGCTGCAGTGCCTCCAACCCAAACCCAATACTCTCACCCGAAGAATACTCTTCGCCCAACAGGCGAGGAGAAAATCACGGAGCAACACGTCGACCGTTTCATTTCGCCTAGAGAAAAAATCCTTCCAAATCTGATGAAAAAGTTAACTTCATCAGCACAGATTATCCGACAAGTGGTCGCAAGAGAGGGTAGCCGGCATGGACAACATATGTTGGAGCAAACATCCCGTTCGAGAAACAGAGGACAAAATCTTCACGAATAAACACGAGTGCTCAGAAACACAACTCAACTACGGGTCCAATGCAACACGAAGTTGAGGCCTGACCAGAAATTAACGTTTCTCCCCAGCGGGCGGCTGCTGCCGTAGGCCTTGTTGACACTCAAGCTGATACGAAGCCATAGGAAGAGAGCAGGAATTGCAACCCCTTTCGTGTCCAACTCCCTTAAGACAAAGCTCATCGCCAAAAGCGCCGCCACTGACGCGAAAAGGAAGTCAAGGCTTGACAAACTATCGGAAAAGGGCGCGGGTTCACGTGCCGATGACTCTCCTAGCTTTCTTTTTTCTTGGTCGACCGTGACGCTGTGGACAAGGACTTTCAAGCCATGCTCGTGCCTCGTCCCAACCCTCGGCACGCCTCGACAGCAAACCGGAAAACAGCAACTGGGCAGCCAACGCAGTGCAATAAGGTTGTTGATAGAGATCAGACGATGATGTCTCCGCGAAACATCCCCCCATCTCCCCTAAAAACACACACGCACAAAGGTTGTTCATCATACCGTTCCTCTAGCTGTGCTCCTTGCACTCACTTCATCATACCCTTCACCTATTCTGTTCTCCTCGCTCCAACTTCATCATGCCCTTCTTCTACAACCATTCTCTTCGCTCAAAATCCAACTTCATCATGCCCTTCTTCTACAGCCATTCTCTTCGCTCTAACTTCATCATACCCTTCTTCTACAGCCTCGCTCATAATTCATACCCTTCCTCTACAGCTTTTCTCCTTGCTCAAACTCATCACACACACCCTTCCTCTATATCTGTTCTCCTCCTTTTAACTCCGATCCTTCTCTTCCGATGAGTCCACGTCGCCGCTCCTCCCTCTTCTCATGATGACGCTCATCGATGCCTCGTAGACCAGGAAAGTCGCCGCGTGGTTCACCATCGCCCGCACTATCGTCGGCGACAGCCCCCGGTAGAACGGCGCGAGCCCCTCGGTTTTCCACATCACGGAGGCGGTAGAAATCATGCCCGCGCCGGAGGCCCCCGCGCTCTGCATGCGGCTCTTCACCACGTCCGCTGGTGGTAGGACAAGGGGGGGGGGGGGGG